AGAAAATACCTTCACCAAAGATACCTATCCACTGCTACACCAAGGAAAACTTATTCTGACGCCTGAGTTATGTTGTATAGTGCAATCCCAACAACATCTTACATCGTCAGTTTACGGTGACGTAACAAATATATTAAATAAGAACAATTCTTGGCTATGCGAAAGGTCCATTTTAACTCCTCGCAATGACCAGGCATCTGAGATTAATAATAAAATACTGTCGAATATCCAGGGGGAAAGCAAAGTTTATAGTTCAATAAATAGAATGGCCGATGAACAAGAAGCCACTAATTACCCGATAGAATTTTTAAATTCTTTAAATATGCCCGTACTTCCTTCTCATGAAATTTGTTTAAAAATTGGCATTCCGATTATTCTGCTCCGAAATTTAAGACCACCACAAATTTGCAATGGAACTCGGCTTAAAGTAACCCAGTTGCAACAAAATGTAATCGAGGCTCAAATTTTAATAGGTTGCGGTGCAGGAGAAACCATCTTTATTCCCAGAATTCCCATAATACCAAATAATTTTCCATTCCAATTTAAAAGAACGCAATTCCCAGTATCGGTGTGTTATGCAATGACAATAAATAAGGCTCAAGGGCAGACCTTTCGTGTTGTTGGAGTAGATCTCGGTGTCAGTTGTTTTTCACATGGTCAGTTATGTCGGTCTTTCCCGGGTTAGCAGTCCTAGAATTTTTTATGTTCACGTTCCGGACGGGTCAAATTTCAACGTAGTCTACCCGGAAGCTTTGCGCTGAAGTATTTTCATTCTATATGTACTTAAGACTCATGTGAAAGTGATCTAAACAATATTACCAATACATTAACATAATAACATACAAGGAGTTACACGCTGATGGTCTCGGGGCACAGTGATAATAATAATATTCTGCGGTTCCTTATTGCGATATTTTTAACAGTATTATATTTCCCTACTAAAATACGAAAGTTAATCTGTCTGTCACATCAAAACCACGGAACCCTGAGGAAGGACATATGCTACTTTTTTACGAAAAACGACGATAACGTGGACGAAGTCGCGGGCAAAAGCTAGTTTTCTGATAAATTCTCATCGAGAATCGTTTGTAGTTGATTGTAGTAAAAGAATTTTCGTTTTTAGTTGCTCCAAAAATAAGTTATGCAATTATGAAAAATCCGTTTCAACCGTACCCAAATTTTTTGATTGACTCTCATTTGTAATTGATTGTAGTGAAAGAATTTTCGTTTGTAGTTGCTTCAAAAAAGAAGTTAAGGGACTTTGAAAAATCCGTATCATCCCGTTTCAACCATACCCAAATTTTTTGATTGATTCTCATCGAGAATCGTTTGTAGTTGATTGTAATGAAAAAAATTTCGTTTGTAGTTGCTTCAGAAAAAAGTTATGCTGTCTGTACTTTTCACCTGCGTATCGCGAAAGAAGGCGTTTTGATCGATCTACTCTCTTTAATTGTAAAGATTGTTTTAGGGCATGTCTTGTATATCGACGATAAGCACTGAGCTTCAGATCTTGTTTTATAATACGTGACAGAGTCCTAGCGGGAGATGTCATTGCAAGTGGATTGTTTACATAGTTGACTACGTACCATACTCACAAAATCCACTTATCCTAACCTAGCATGTGAGAGACATGTTAGCTGAGAGCTCAACCGAAATTCGTTGGTGTGGCTTCTGGTGGCGGCAGGAACACCCCAGGTAGTGCAGGAGCGGTCTTACGCGGGCGCCATTACTTGCAGCCAGGGATCGCAATATCGGACCACTGTGCCAATTTCGATATTTTTGATATTGAAGAATTACGATTACGAATTACGTATTTTCGATACTGAATATATTTTCACAAGTATTTATAGTTATTTATTAATAAGTTATTTTATTATAATATATACACTTCTGGACACATCTATTGGCCCACCTTGTATTTTCAGTTTCGTTTGGTCCTAGCTAAAATTTTATATTAGGTCGAGCAAAAAGTTTTTATGCAGTTTTGAACCTGGCACATTCACAATTTCATTCAATAGTCTTTTTTTGAATTTCGAACACAGAATTTAAAGAAACAAAAGACAATTTGGAGCCTGTTTGTTGATATCAAACAATCGACTACTAAGAAAACTTGGTTTTATTGGTTTACTTGGATTTAATTCTTGAAAAAGTGATTGATATCTTTGGTTTTGCAACAAACATTACTTATTCTTATCATTAAGGTGAGGTTCTATCAATAATCTATGGATACTTCACCTGAAGTCGCCGCCCAAGCTGTGGCACTTATTCAGGCCGGACACAGCCAAAGAAACGTGAGTGCTCAACTTAATTTAAGTCGATCTGCGGTCCGAAATGTTTATCGGAGGTACCTAGAGACTGGCGGCTTTGTTCGTCGCCAAGGAAGGCCACGATCTCGGGTCACAACTGAAAGGCAGGATCGATTCATCGTGACGACCAGCTTGAGAAATCGTAACCTTACCTCCATTGAGATACAAAAACAAATTCGCGTCTTCCACGGAGTATCTGTGAGCGCTCGAACTGTTCGGAGAAGGTTAAAAGAACGCGATATGGTACCACACAAGCCAGCTAATGGGCCCAAACTAACGCAAACCCACCGAACAGCGCGCCTTCATTTCGCACCCAGTCATTTAAATTGGACACAGCAAGATTGGAGCCGTGTAGGTACTCTTTTCTGATGAGTCTAAAATTGTGTTACAAGGCAATGATGGAAGGAATAAGGTCTACCGACGTAAGGGAGAGCGTTTCGCACAATCCTGCTTTGAAGAGAGGGCTGCTTATGGCGGTGGCTCATGGACTGTCTGGGGCGGTTTATCCGCGAGCGGCAAAACTCAACTTGAGGTTGTTACAGGACCACGGCTGCCAACATTAAATGCTGAAAGGTACATTCGTGAGTGCTTAGAACCTCACGTGATACCATACGCGGACTATGTGGGCCCAAATTTCCTTTTTATGCATGATAATGCAAGAGCCCATGCGGCCGGCATCGTCAGGGAATATCTTCGGGATGTGAACATCACAGTTATGGACTGGCCAGCCAGAAGCCCAGACATGAACCCCATTGAGCACATGTGGGACGAGCTAAAAAGACGTGTTAGGGCTCGTCAGCCAGTTGCCCAGACGATGCAGGAGTTGAAAACTGCCATAGAAGAGGAATGGGAGATGATCCCTCAAAATTTCATAGAGCGGTTGATAAACTCTATGCCTAATCGTATGAAAGCTGTGGTAGATGCCCATGGAGGCAACACGCGTTATTAAATTAAACCTTTATTTGATAAAACATGTTTTTTATTCAAAAATCAATTGCCTTTAACAAGGCGCATATCCGACTTGTTAGGCGTAGCTCCATGTCGAATGGTATTCTGAATTCAAATTTAAAACAATACGATCGAAAAAGATGGTAAAATGTATCAGGTTTAAAACTGCATCAACAGTTTTTGTTCAATCTAGCAATCATATTTCGGTAGGGGCCATCGAAACCTAAACTCTAAGGTGGGCCAATAGATGTGTCCAGAAGTGTATAATATAATAAACTTTTTATTAAAAGTTTACTGGAGCGCAAGTTTTCAATCATACGGATTCGAAGAAAATGAACTTTACATTTTATGTAATCGCTTCAATTAATGGCCACGTATTGACTCCTCAACTGACGATTACCATCGAGTGCCTACCAAACCATCTATGGTTCAACTTCGAAAAAGTAATCTAAGTCAGCTCGAATGGTAAGCATTCGGGAAATAACATAATATCTTCGTGTCCAAATTCAAGACAAGCCTTTGACCAGTATTTAGCTACCAGACCAGTATTTAGCTACAGGACCTATAAGACGACTCAGGGTCACATAGCGAGCAATTGAAAGGGCGATACTAAGTTTTGCTCTGCACGATGGAATTAGAAATGAGTAAATCCGTAGGAAATCTGAAACAACCGATTATGCTCAAAGGATTGCTCTGCTGAAGTAGCAATGGGCAGGACACGTAGCGACGAGAACTGATGACCGTTTGAGCGGAAAGGTTTTTGGATGGCGACCGCACACTGGACGACACTCAGTGGATTGGCTAGAATCCTCGACTCGAACCGATGATCTAGCGAAGGTCCAATCGATGTGGATCCCTTGGGGTTGACTTACGTTCAGAAGTAGGCGTTGCGCGGCCTAATATGACAATTGATCTATCAAACGAAGGAGAACCCAACAAACTACCTACCGGCAGGTAGATTTTAGCCATTTGTATCATCTTCATATTGGAGATTTGAGATTCTAGTAGTACCTACGGTGACACCACGCTCCGAAAAGGTGCTCGTCTGATAGTACAGTCCATAAATGTTAAACAGAATAGAGGACATGCAATGCAATGCAAGCCTCACGCCTTTCCCAAACCTAAAAGGCTCAGAGGTTCTTTCAACCCTTACCCTCGTTATTTTGGTACAGCAACGGGTGACTCATTTCTTTGTCGCACTATCCGTAAATAGAATGGTCTGCCTTCTTACAACCTGGGATCCTTTTAAAGAAGCGTGAAGAAGCAACATGCAGTCCGGCAAGGTGAGGATGGTTGGTGTGGCAGGTAAAACTGCTGTACCAGCTATCTTCACTTCTGGACTTCACCATCACTTAACATCAGGTGGGGTGGAGTCATTTGTCGGACATAAAAAAATTAACGTAATTTCAAAATCGATATCAAAATGAAGCAATTTTGTTCCGTTATTTCGATATTTTAGATATTCGAGAATTCGATATTCAAAGCCTACTTGCAGTTGCGCGTATGAGTGGTTCGCTCAACCGTACATTTTGCGGGCGAGTCCGGCGACAAACTCGGGGGATTGATCTTGAGATCGCTCTGCAATGTTATATTCCTAATGCTGCGTTTCCACCTAGTCCAGCCCTCCATTGCCACCTTTGATGCATAACCTTAATTAGAAGTTTAAGCCTACAACTTCTATTTGAATGGTGGAAAAATTTACATTCTATTATTTGCATTACATATTATTAATTTATCTTTTTACAGGTTGTGGGATTACAGTTTAAACACACTGATAATATAAACAAATTTTTAGAAATTTTGAAACATACTGAACTGCCTCAGGTTAGTAAATTCTTCTGAATGAAACTACACCGGCCTGCAAAATTAAGTATCACAATTTTAAAATTCCATTAACTTTAGAAGTACACAAGTTACACTTTCGGAATAAAAACGATTCAAAAAAAGAGTTTAATTTTATACTACACTAGCTAGCAAAGCTGTTAATTATTGCTATAAACCATTTTTTATTTTAAATCTCTAACTCCAATAGTTTAGAAAACTATTAAATTTAGAAGTGTAGTGTATTTTTGCAGGCCAGTGTATTATTATTAAAAACTCATTTAAGTAATTAATTATAATACTGACATATTTATTAGTATAGATATATGAACATATTTATAATTTAATTATATTTTTTTATTACAGACATTTCAACCAGAAACAACTGATATTTATGATAAGAAAAATATGCCCCGTCTTATATACTGCATTCATGCACTAAGTTCCCATCTGTTTAAATTAGGCAAAGCTCCACTTATACATGATGTTTTTGGAAAGGCAGTTTTTACTGGTATTATTGTAGTTTTGCATTCAGTTTTATAATTTAGAGTTACTTCTTTACATACCTAACATATTTATCGTGTTTCAGATGAAGAATTAGACATAATTACTAAAGATTTACAAAAATGTGAACATCCGCTGCCATTGTTTCAAAAGATTGGTGGATTGTTATCAAGAAATAACACAGATGATTCCCATACATTCCACGATGCTGTAGTTGAATTAAATAAATTGTTAGATACTGAAAAATCAATCACATCTGCTATTCTCAATCCACATTTAAAATTAAAATATGTTCAAAATCGTCTAATAAGCGAATATAAATCTGTGTTACAAGTAGCAAGATATGAGAAAATAAAAGCTGCACATAATCATTCCTTAAATGAAAGTTACATGCCAGATGATTATGATGAATTACTTACCCAAATTGAAATTCAAGGACATATTATCTCTGTAAATTATAAATATTTGTGGAAAAATGTATGTACGGCATCATTGAATAATGACTTGAATGTATTACATAAAGCTTTTAATGAGGAGTGGGTTAAAATAAAAGACTACAATAGTCACAATCTAGATTTTTATTGTGATGTCGTAAGAGAAATTATAGAATGCAACAAAGATATTGATGTGGAAAGTGTCACAAATTGGCATAAAATATTTCAGAACATTATAAACGAAGGTAACAGAAAATCTGCTGATCACATTGAACATAAGAATGCTATTGCATATGTAAATAAAGCTTTAGACGAAGGAAGTCCTGATAATTTGTATAAGGCCTTGACTAACGTTCATTTGGAGTTAAATTTTAAAGTAGATAAATATAGTATACCTTTACTGTTTGAAGAAATGAAATTGGAAAAATGTGAATTAGATAAGATTTTAAATGAAAGTGAAATTGCTGTTTCTGTGTCCTACCTTACTGCAGTAGCTGCTATATCTCAGGCTGTAGAAAGAGGAGACGAAGTAGCCTGCTGGAAGTTGTTAAATTCAAATCAAGTCAATATTGAAGGATTGCGTCCTCATTGTCGACGTAGATACCTGTCGGCCCTAGTAACTGCAATGCAAGTTAAAATTAGAGAGCAGTGTGCTTGCCCTTTGCTTACTTTGGAAGATATTCGTGACACCATTGATATGGTAAATATGAAAGATGATGAAAATGAAGAATGTAAGTGTGAAATTATTTTTACCATTGTATGGTATAAATTTGAATTATAATTGTTTTATTGTATATATTTTTATAAGTTTATTTTTATATATTGGTAAAGCATTGATCCTTAAATATTGTTTTACATTACAGTGGTATCAGTTATAAATAGTATTAATAAGGCTGTTATAGAAGAAGATAGTAACACTCTAATGAACCTTCTGAAGAGTTCGTCTTTGCAAATAACAACTTCACTTCACAAAGAAGAACGACACCTGTATCTGCGCATTTTAAAAAAGAAACTTGTCCAAAGGGAGTCTCAAAGTCTTTGGTTGGATGATATTGTAAATACTATTAATGATGTTAATGAAGAATCCCTGAAAGTAAAGGAGCTCACTGATTCTTTAGTTCATTTGAATTTGGCAATTGTTAAGAAGGACATTAATGAATTTTGGCATGCACTTTTAAGTCCTCTGCTTAGTGGTTTAGAAATAATTGAACCTACATGTAAAGATATTTATTTCCACATGTTTTGTAAAGCTCTAAAAAAGAAAGGCCAGAATATATGCCCTTGGATTGTGTGTCATACTGATGCTGGTAACACAGTTTATGTAGATATTGAATCATACACTTATAGTTGGAATACACCTAAAGACTTTGTTCCATATGCCCGGTACTTGACAAGGAAAGATGTGATTGCAATTATACAGAAAACTAATAAAAATCATGTGAATAAATATAAACAAACTATTTTGGAGCATTGCATTGTTAACTTCCAAGCATATTGTAGAGGGTATCTATATAGGAAACAATTAAGTGAAAGATATGAATATTTCAGTGAAAATATCAGGTACATTATAAAAATTCAAGCCTGGTGGAGAAGGATTGTAATTGAAAGAAAATTTGGAACTTTGATAAAAATGAAAACAATAGAATCCAAACTGAAACAAGAAAGGAAACAGAATCCATGGGTGTGGTATAAAATTCAGGTATGTAGTCTGCTTGTTTACTTTATGCCAGGACTATAATAGTATATGGTTTACTAAGGGAGCAGAGAATTATTTTAAAGTTGAGCGTTTTTAACGTCGAAAAGCGTTTTTTTTAATCCAGAGCGGAGCAAAGATGTTGCTCGAACTTTAAAATAGTTGTGGGTATTGAAGTGGACAGCTATAATTGGTGCATTAAAATTACCGGTAATTTATTTTTCATATTTAGCGGATTCGACTTCCGGTTCAGATAGTTTTTTTTTTAACTCTTTGAATGTCGTAATATTTTTAAAATAAAAATAGTTTTTTTTCCAGCAAAACTTTCTAACTACAGTATTTAAGGTACTTTCCTTCCATGTGGCAAAGTTATGGGACATCTTGTTTATGGAAGGTTAGGTACATTTTGCCCAGGTGTTGGGCAAATAGAACGTCCAAGTTGGACACAAATGTTTAGTAGCTACAATAGCCCCGGGTGTCTTTACCCCTGTTTCATTAGAGTTATAGTTGAGGCGTCTAATCTTTTAGTATGAAGAATATAAATGGTATACTTGCTGGTTTCTCGTCTTATGTAGTTTATTTGATGCTGATTGTATATTTTTTCAGGAAAAAAAGATAATTAAAATACAGGCATTATGGCGCGGGCGCAGGGCGCGGCAGGCGTTTACATCTCTCTTTCATTCTGCTAATCCTCCTCTTAAAGCTGTAAAGAAGTTTATTCCAATGCTTGATTTTTCAACGCAAGATTATGACAGAGAAATAGAGTTACAAAGTTTAAAATCGGAAGTTGTACAATCAATGAGGAAAAATCAAGAACTATCTAAACAAATTGACGACATGGATTTGAAAATAGGCCTTCTCGTACAGAACCGTATTGCCTTACAAGACGTGGCTGCACATGGCCTAAAGTTAAATAATTTGGTTAAACACAATTCAATGACAAAGTTGGTTTTTCAAAATCGATCTGAAGGTAAAGGTTCATTTATGACAATTTCTACGGCTGTAAAAGGGCTGAAATCATTAACTAAGGAAAGTAAAAGGTTGCTTGATGGGTACCAGCATTTGTTCTATGAATTGCAAACAAATCCGACATATTTATCTAAGCTCCTTTTTTGCATACCCCAAAATAAGACCAATAATTTCGTACAGAATGTTGTATTGAGTTTGTACAATTTCGGGGCGTACGCCAGAGACGAATACCTATTATTAAAACTATTCAGATTCACATTGGACGAAGAAATAAGTTGCAAAGTGGTCATGCCTTATGATATCATTTCATCCACACCTTTGGTTTTAAAAATGGCCGTCAATCTATCAAGGCAGTTATCAGGACTTAACAGTTTAAAAACTATATTGGGTCCTTTGATCGAGAAAATTTTGAATGACAGAAACTTAAACATAGAAACTGGACCAATAGAAATATACAAGGCATGGAGAAATGAAAGTGAAATGAAAACAGGACAGATATCGTAAGTGGATACCTCACTACCATTTAAACAAATGAATAATAATAATAATAATAATGAATAATATAATTTTCACTGATATTATAAATGTGAAAGTTTTTATGTTTGTTATTATTTAATGAAGCAATAAACGGCTGCATGGATTAAGATGGAATTCGGCACATAAATACATAGTTTACTAGCGTCCGCCCGCGACGCTTTTTTTTAGTTTTTCGAGAATTCCCGACGAACAACATTTTTCCGCGATAAAAAGTATCCTATGTCTGTCTGTATTATGTGTCAATAAAGAAGAACTGCTTCAAAGTAGAACATTAAATATATTTTCATTTCAGATCACTACCATTTTCTGTTACTCAAGATGAAGCTCTTAAGTATCCAGAAGTGAAAGCGAGGCTGGAGACTGCATTGGCCAAACTGAAAACTGTTGTAACAATATTTTTGGATAGAATCACCAAGTCTACTGAACTCTTTCCTTTCTGCATCACTTATATGGCAAGAGTTCTACATAGAGCTCTCTCTTCGAAATTCCCCCATACGCCGGAAAAGGACATTTTGAAAGTAAGTATATGCTGAAAATGTGACTAACATCCAGTCGATTGACGACCTCCGAGTCCGAGTGGTAAGTACGCCGGGTTTCAAGGTGTCACCTACTCAGAGGTCTCGGGTTCGAATACCAGTGGGGCAAACGTTCGTATGGTGAATACGAGCATATGTGCCTAATTCATGGATGTTCATATATTATTATATTCTAGATAAATATACTTATGTATTAGTATATTGTATTCTATCTGTTACTCTATTATCCCATAACACAAGTCTTACAGTGCTTACTTTGGAGCTAGGCTAATTGGTACGAGTGTGACAAACATTTATATAATCATACTGTCGCTTTTTATAGTATTGCCAAGATCACGCTCGTCATTGTTTTTATTGCCTAGTAATAAGATTGACATTTGCATCACATATCATTGGTCTGTAAGATGATTTATGAATTTTTTATACTCCATTCATGAAAACGACTTAGTGGAGCGTTTTCTTAACACACAATGGTGTCAATTCTGGCATGATTCTCTAAACTTAAAACTAAATTTAGCACCAGTCTCTCCTTTTCATTTTGTATAGAGAATGACAAGGTTGCACTCTTGTCAAATTTAAGTTTAGGTTTAGAGAATCGTGCCAGAATCGACACCAATGGCTTACAAAAGACAAGGATAAAAAAGTGGGTTCCATGATGACCCGAAAATGGGGCTGCCATGGACTGGTGCTTGTAACGCCAACACTAACAGCGTTGTTACTACTACAGAAAATAAATATTCTTTATCAAATAGTGCATTTATTAAGGTAACATAGTTTTTCGGATACAATTATTTAAACATAATTAAATAATGCTACGTTTTTCTGCTAGCTACATGGTCTTGATCGACTGACTTGTCTAATTTTTCAAAATCAAACTTGACAAAATAGGTTGGTAATATACTTACTTTTATATTAATTTATTTTTCTTTCAGGTTATAGGAAATTTGGTGTATTACCAATTTCTTAATGCGGCAATTGTTGCCCCTGATGCATTCCACATTGTGAATTTAGCAAACGGCTGTGGTCTTACGACGGATCAACGGAAAAATTTAGCTTCAGTAGCGAAAATTTTACATTTCTCTGCAGCTAAGAAAGGAGTAAGTACTGTTTTAACATGTTGAAACTTTTGTGAGTTGCGAACTGTACCGTGAGTGAAATACTTACTATAGACCAACGAATTAGAAATGTTAAGAAAGCATTGCTCTCTAACCAAGTCTGCTAAAACATGGTTCCAAACTCATACAACTAAACTTTAATACTAACGCGACACGCACACAGATAAAACAAAGTAATTTGACAAATCAAATATCTGCAAATGAATTCGGCTATCTCTTCATTGGGTAAGATTATGTTAAACGGAAATCCCAACCAATCCCATGATCGGCGTGTTGGTCGATTTTTTTTCACCTCACTTGGAATCAGTTTAGCGCAGTTCGTTTTCCATATCATTTTTAATTCGTCTTTATAGACTTTATTGTGTACCAAATAAAAGATGATTTATTTGTACAGTTTGGAGAAGAATCTCGTCACTTGCAGTGCTTGAATCCTTTTATAGTGGAATGTCATGAAAAAATGAAGGATTTATTCAGGCGATGTTGCCGAGGTCCCACTTTAGAGGAATACTTTGCTGTTGATGAATACACTGAGGCGACTCTGCTCAATCATCCTCACATTTATATAACTGTTCAGGTTAGTTTACTTTTATTTATTGTTATTGGAGCATTTTTGCATTGGAAGAATGCGTATCCGATACACTGAGGTTCCCAAACTATACCAAACCTGTATCTTGGAGAATCGAAAACATTTCCTTTTTGCGTTTTCCGAATAAACATTTTGATAAAAGCAGATTTTGAAATAATTTCATTGTTAGTTTTCAATTGTAGTGTGCTCGGAATTTAGCGCAAGCGTTATATTACGGAATGATGAGCCTATAACTTAACCTAAAAAAAAACCGCTGAAAATAACTATAGCGTACATACACATAATGTTATAATAAGAATAGATGGAAACTATGCCTTTTCCTAAATTACAAAAAAAAACGGAATGGGCTATTTGGCTAGTTTTTGAAAACGTTCATAAATTATTTATTATTGTATTGTGATTCCATAAAAGTGGATATTAATAATTCTGTTCTGTATATCAATAAAAACGAAAATAAAAAATATATTTTCAAATACCGTGGAAACGTTTATCTAGCAAATATGGCGCCTTGGAGGCAGGTGACATCACACACATGGCTCTCATTAAAACGTCGAACAGTATAAAGTAATGTCACTTCGACAGCATGTTTAAAAGCAGATGAAGTCAGTTTAGGCTCCGCCAATGATAGGCGTTTTCGGTCACCTGAAAATAGAAAAACCTTTGTATTTCATGAGTTTTACTCATATTATCTACCACTTTTTTTTGGCAGAGTAGTGAAATAGCTCCTAATATTCATGTTAAATACACACCAATAATTGTTACTTTTTTATACTGTCAAATGGCCTATTGGCGCTTAATTAGGCTAGGCTCGATATTTGCCCCTAATAGTTGGACTCTTCACAGTAGAACTAAGAAAGGTTACCGTAAAATTTTCAGGAAATAGTAGACACACATGCGCTTCTTGTCGAATATCAAGACATCATAGCACCGGACCACCGCGATAGACTCAATGAGCTTCTCGACGATTTAGGGGAAGTGCCTTCAGTCGCTCAACTAGCATCACGTGATGTTGACACGGTATGTATTATATAGTAGGTAGATGATATACAAAAACATGTTTTAATTAGCCAAAATTTAATCTTATCAATGAAATCTTAAAAAGTTTATTGAAAAGTGACATTTTGTCTTCAGCAAATAGGCGAATCAATGGAAGAGAACGCAAGGCTAGACGTATGCCTAGCACTTGTAAACAAATTCCAGGCACCAGCCGATGATATGACAGATTTGAATAAACTATTTATCAAAACAAAAGAACTGTGTGTTGCTATAATCCCGTTTTTAAATGGTACGTAATTGCGTGTGAAATCACTAACGAAAATATCCAAAATTCCTTGTATGTTAATTAATAATTTACTATAATAATTCAGGTGAACATCTACTGGAAGCATTATGTATTGGTACTACGAAAGATCAGCAAGATCAATACGCCAAAAAAGTGCAAAAACGTATTTACTCTGGTCAAGCAAAGCCAGACGAGGTTATGACTTTGAGAGAGCATATAGCAAAGTTACGGCGCAATTTACAAATGCTTGAGGACGAAGGTTACGTCACCAGAGAGGATGGGTACCAAGCATTGATAACCTCCATTGCTCTTGATCTCTGTAACAAAGGCAAATACCGACAAGCACAGAAAAGAGCTTTGTCGACACTCACAAGGACGAAACAGAGTTTGTTGGAGAAAACTAAATATTATGAAGAGAAATGTAAATCATACGACCAGTATATAAGGTCTTGCCTTGCAAATCTTCATGCTGGTAAAAGGTAAGATAATCATTACACAGATTCAATTGCTTATTTTTGGCAATATCTTTAAATTAAATTACAAATATTGTAATTTTACAGAAGTGTTCATGCATGTTTGAGGAGACCCGGCAAAGACATCAAAAAGTTAAAGTCGAAACTGACTGCTAAATACTCTGGTGCTAAATTAATGGAAAAGGGTGTTCTACTGGAGATAGACGGCCTCTCATCTAATCAATTCAAAAATGTACAGTTCGACATCACTCCTACTGATCACAATGGTGTTTTCACAATTAGAGCTAAGTTTATGGGTGTCGAAATGGAATCAATAGAAATAGACATTCAGGATTTATTACAGAAACAATACGAGGGTTGTGCTATTATGGACCTATTTGGAAAGGCGAAAATTAATGTTAATTTACTAATATTTTTATTAAACAGCAAATTTTATGGTAAGGTCTAGGCCACGGAATTTCAAATTTGAAGTACTACATCACTAACATGTATTCTTTATAAGTATTATATAAGTTTAAACTATTGAATACTCGAACGAACTTTTTAATTTCCTAATGATAGTTTATTTTTAATACTTATTTCTTATAGCTAAAAACTAAGTAAGTACTATCGGCCAATTTGATACCTACCCCACCTTATGCTCGTTTTCTTATAGTCAAAGATCCGAACTAAAAACGATCTTCACCGAGCTGATAATAGAATGAATCATATTTTATAACAAATTTAGTATGTTAGAAAATATGTTGAAAATGGGTTGCCTAAAAAAATCCTGGACAGACAATTTTTAATTATTTAAAAAAAAATGTTTTATTTTTATTTTTGCAACATCAAGATAATAAGAAAATTTTTACCCTGACTTAAAGTATGAAACGTATAGAATGTGCAGCCGTTGGGTTGCCTATTATTTACCTGGACAAACTACTCGGTTGTCAGGTATAAACAGGTATGTCGATGCCAGTTACCTTCACTCGATTAGATAATCGAAAAAATTTTATATCAATATGAGCGTTGTTTTATTGCGAACACGGTGATATAGGGTTGTCTACAAAAAACTTGGTCTTAATAGGGGTTTGCGAATTTTGAAGATTTTTATTTTAACGCGAGTGGAAATGTGTGACAGAGAGATCCGAATTGAGTATAGCGTGTAATAATAAAGGACACAACATGGCACAACTGACATTTAAGTTGTAAATAATAATAATTATAATAATATTATTATACTAAAATATTAAACAATAAAACCTCAATTAAATAAATTAATAAATATATATAAATGAATTTACTTATTGACTTATAAGTATCATTATATATTTATACAAGTTTTTGTAACTCAAAATATAATGACGTAAATAATACAAATATCAATATATTGAAATTTTTTTTTCTCTTTCTGGAAAAAATTATGAGAAACAAAGTGGACAGCCGAAAATTCAAATTCATGGATAAAAAAAAAGATAGACTAAAAATCTTGTATTACGTTTGAAAATTATAAGAGCATAAATACAAAAATAATATCAATAAAAAATAAATTATAATAAATATTTTCTATTCTATATCTGATTCATCAGAAGTATAATTTTGATTCTCGAATGCATCTGACTCATTATTCGTTTCTTCCTCAATTTCTTCCATTTCGACAATGTCCTGGATTTTCAAAGGAGTTTGATCTCCGATAAAACCAGTTGGTTTTAAAAAATCATCTAAATGCCAACCGTAGCTTTCGGGGTTTAATTTCGCACATACAGCATCAGTTGCATTAAGCCACATAGAATTTACATATATAGTTCTTAAAATTGTTTGTAGCAGGGATTCAATTCGGATCTCTCTGTCACACATTTCCACTCGCGTTAAAATTAAAATCTTCAAAATTCGCAAACCCCTATTAGGACCAAGTTTTTTGCAGACAACCCTATATCGCCGTGTTCGCAATAAAACAACGCTCATATTGATATAATTTTTTTTCGATTATCTAATCGAGTGAAGGTAACTGGCATCGACATACCTGTTTATACCTGACAACCGAGTAGTTTGTCCAGGTAAATAATAGGCAACCCAACGGCTGCACATTCTATACGTTTCATACTTTAAGTCAGGGTAAAAAATTTCTTATTATCTTGATGTTGCAAAAATAAAAAAATAAAATATTTTTTGTCTGTCCAGGATTTTTTTAGGCAACCCATTTTCAACATATTTTCTAACATATTAAATCTTTATATATATAATTCTTCTGTGAGTGTGTATGTCACTGAACTTCTCTTAAACGACTGAACCGATTTTGATGAAATTTGTTGTGTGTGTTCAAGGGGATCTGAGAATGGTTTAGATTCACAATTTTGTCCGCTGGACAACCCCTATTTTTTTAGGGCGGTACGAAGTTCGCTGGGTCAGCTAGTTTGTTATAAAATATGATTCATTCTATTATCAGCTCGGTGAAGATCGTTTTTAGTTCGGATCTTCTACTATTATTAAAGTTCCAATACCATAAGATAGAATTTCACATTTAAGTTAGTATGTATCAGAATAAAATATAGCTTTTGTTAAAAGCATGTTATACCATAGTTTATCCTAATAATAGAAGTTAAAATACATAGTTTCTATGACAAGTAGGTAGATGATTTCAATTTTATTTAAAGGACAATCTACTGCGGTTGATAACAAAAAAAAATCTAGCATCTTTGATTTATTTAAATATATTGAATCTGTTACTGAATGGTCTTAAGTGCATTATGTATTAAAAGTTGTTATAACAATTTGAAGCGAATTATTTGAAGGGCCATGAATCAATTTGTTCGATAGTACTTATACTATCTTTGCGATATTATCACCGTCGGGTTTGGCTCATACATACATAGATTTGGTGGTATGGCCAGGTTATCCTACGATTTTCTCGTCCATGGAAATTACTTAGCTTAGCAAAAGGTTCTCAATGTTACACTTAAATATACCTAACATCAAAATATTGAATGCGAATATTATATTAAACTAATATTTCATGTAAAACATGCAGTATTTACAAAATTATGACTGCGAGGAGTTTATTTCCGAGATTTCTCGCGCTCCTTGCGTACGTCACTTGTCCAGGGATGCGTTCAATACCTACGCTCTTAAGTGCCATATTTTACCCTGACGCAGGCCTCCGTCAGTCCATGTGCTTGCGCGCGTTAATTACCTACCGAACGATGTCAATGATCAAATAGTCAGTGGGCTGTTGCAAGCGCTTGTTATCGTACGCTCTTCGCTGTGCACTGTAAACATTGAATTATTTGTATACTGTACTTATTATTAAATACTGCAAATAAGTTTAATGCAGACCTTTAATATTACGGTATATTCTACTTTGGTTATTGTTAAATACTGTAAATAATAAAAGGCTGCATTAGGCCAGGCAACGTGGACTATTGCCTTAACTCCTTCATACGAAGGCAAATCTATATTCCAGCAGTGGAGAATTATGGACTAAAGATGATGAGATTTATAACTTTTAGGTTAGATTATAGTCCCGAGTTCCATATTATAATACTAATCATATATAATTGAGTGTTTAGTTTATCATTAATTTACATTACAAATCATAAACAAGCCATTTAGGCACAATTTTTGTGTGTGAACAATATTTTTATCGTACCAGCAGCCATGGCATCACCTTTGATTGCAGCAATGCCGCGCGGCTGCGAATCGGTAACAACTTTATTAGTCGAGCGTATAATTTAGTATGTAGCGGTCGCTGACGCGTGGCGGCGGGATGGAGTAGGCTATTATAGTTGTAGATATACGAATTATTGTAGGGAGCGATTTATCTGTTGCGTAGTAACTATTATGTAATCTGTGCCTGAGGTTTCAATTTTGACATAAAATGTATGAAGCTAATGTCAACTTTGACATTTATTGCATCTAGAGCGTAGGTTTTGAACGTAGCCCTGGGGCCGCGACACAACAAGGGCCGTCATCGCATGTTCGCGGGTCGCTATCGTTTTTAAATAATGTTGTGCGAAAATGCATACTTCATATTTAATTTTTCCAACCATTTTAAAGATAGAAAAAAGTAAAAATACAGGTTTTATGTAATATTTTTAGATTACTTTGGCATTTTTAGAAAAAAGAACTTTTGTTATCGTCATTGCCGCACTCGGAGAAAATAATTAGATTTAACGCTTCATTAATGAAGACGCATGTCGTCTTATTCTTTCATTACCACATAGTGACAGCATTCAGTTTGATCAAAGTTACAAGTTAATTGACGTATCTGAGTACGGCCATAAGAGTTCTGCAGTGACAGAAACTATATAGTCCGAGAGCCGGCTGTATAAAAATCCTATGGATCAGAATTACTTAAATCATTTTTGGGGTATAAATAATAAAGCCATAGGTCTAGAGGTCGACACCCCTGAAGTTGCTTGATTTTGCCCGCATGCAAACTTATGACGTCACTTCCGGTTTTTATTTTAGGTGTAATTGTAATTTATCAAATACATCAAGAAAATGTATGTCAATCGAAAGTTTTTGATGAGTAGAATAGAAATGTCTAGGTTTGACAAGCTCTATTTATTAGCTACCCCGAGTCGACCACCATTAAAAAAAAAACTTTAGTGATTGTCCCTTCTCCGTCCCTGGTGGCAGCAGCACAATTTTGTAAAAGAGCCCTTTTACAAAATTGTGCCGCTGCCGTACTGATCGGCGCGTAGGTAGATTTGCACTATACTAGTGCAAATCTACCTACGAAACATCACCCGTAACATGCAATATATACATTGCATGTTACGGGTGATGTTTCGAGTCTTATAAAATAATTAGGTATTAATACACTAATTATAAAAATATTTACGTATTTCAGTAGTTCAATGATGGTAGATTAGTTTTACGAAAGTTTTTGATAGTATTTCTATTAATTCTATATTAAAATACGAGGTAAACCTGAATTATTTTTTGGGAAAACTCACGGAGGTTAGATGTTTTTTTGATTATTAATGAGATGGAAAATCAAAATTATAATACATTATCTATGTTACAACAAAAACATATTTCTGATGTCGTAGTAATTAATTTGATCTAATTTATTAAACATTATTGAGAGATTGAGGCGTTTGAAGTTGTGCATATTATCGTTTTTCCGTAAACTAGCTGCAGTAGAACGATCAGTACAAAAAAAGGAAAATAGTGTTTGCAAATATTCAACATTAACTTACAAAAGGAAGAATAAAACTACTGTTTACTTCTATTGGAAATAGTCAAAATCTTTTCTAAGGGGGTAAACGAGGCGCTCAAAAATTAAGATTTTTGGAAAAAAATGTGAAGGGGCTCTTAAGTCATCGAATACATGGATTTGTTTACGATTTTCTGAAAGTAGAACCTCTCAAATGACTGAAAAAAATTGGTCGACACCTTTTATTTGCCCGGATTTGACTGTCGACTTAACTAAGTCGACAGTTGGATGTGGGTAAATAAAAGGGGTCGACCAATTTTTTTTAGTAATGTTAGAGTCAAAGAATTAATTGGAAAAAACAAAATATTTATGTATTTGAAAAAGATATGCAGATAATTAAATAATTAAACATGCAAAGAGGTGAAACATCGAATACATGGATTTGTTTACGATTTTCTGAAAAGGAGCATAGGCTCTTTAATTCTTCATATTTAGTCGACACTCAGATCCGGGCAATTAAAAGGAGCCGACCAATTTTTTTCAGGCATTTGAGAGGTTCTAGTTTCAGAAAATCGTAAACAAATCCATGTGTTCGATAGCTTAAGATAAATTAAAAATATTTTTTTTTGATGGTCAACTCAGGGTAGCGAATAAATAGAGCTTGACGACCCTTAACATTTATATTGTACTCATCAAAAACTTTCGTTTGACATACATTTTCTGGATGTATTTGATAAATTACAATTACACTTAAAATAAAAACCGGAAGTGACGTCATAATTTTACATGCGGGTAAAATCAAGCAACTTCAGGTGTGTCGACATCTAGACTTATGGCTTTATTGTTCATACCCCAAAAATGATGATTCATGTATCTGATCCATAGGACTTTTATATAGCCGGCTCTCCGACTAATAGCAAACTGTGCATGTAATACGAGTATGATTATTTTTATTTATTGATGAACTAAAAGTATGTTTTGTGATTTTATTTTATAGTTTTCCGTCTTTTTTAAATTATGAAGTATTAGTCCAACACCAAATATTTTTTACATTATGTTAATGCATTTAATAGATAGGGATTTCGTAAATCATAAGTTTATTGTGGTAGGGTATTTTAGTGAGTTACATTACAAAAGTCGAGTTTCAAAAAGTCAGGATTGTAGAATATTGGCTTTTACATCAGGGGTCATTCGCCTAAAGGAAATGCTTTGGTAAACGCTAACGCTTACGATTTCATTTTGTTATTTCTAGCCACCTGAGGTTTCAAATGCCTCGCGCTCTTTTTTTTCTTTTGCATTGGTAATAACAATATTAAAAAAATGAGCGTGAAGTATTTGAAAACCTTCGGCGTTCAGAAATAACAAAATAAAATCGAAAGTGTCAGCGTTTTCCAAAGCCGTTAGGCGAATGACCTCTGGATATAGCTAAGAAAACAGGACCTCATTATAATTTAAATAAAAGTGACATGTATATGTCCAAAAAAATTGTAATAACATTCAAAATAACTTTTAACGATAAATACTATAGAAACTTTACTTATTTATTTAGAAATTACTGACATTTTGCAAAAGAGAGATCTTCAAAAACATTAGATTAAAACAAAAAGGGAAGATACGGTACGTTCATATTAGCATCAGATATAATATGCTCCGACTCAACTACATAAACAACTATCACGCAACGCAATCTTGCGAGCGAGACAGAACTGTACCTACGCTTCAACGCAGCGCGAGCGAAACGGCGAGTCCGCGTCGCTTGGCTTGGCGACTGCTTTTTCTCTCTACAAACGGCTGAGCTGTATTGTTGTCCTTTTCTTGATAATAAATGGCGAAAAAGTAAATAACAGTCATTACAAACCGTGATTCTTACAGAGAAAATATGTTTTCATAGTTTTACAAATTAAAAGTGTTGCCGTGAAATTTGTTATTCGATCTTGAACTATTTGTGCTCTTTATAAAAGCATCGAAGACATTGTTTTATCTTTATAACACAGAATATACGCAATATTGTTATATTGAGTGCACATGCACCGTGTTTGAATGAATGTTTGTCCAATTGTGATTAAAGCGAATTGTGGTCATTGTTGAGCCGCAAGGGCCGTATTTTCCCTTATTGTTTTAATCTAAGTCAACAACATAGTTTTCAGTTGAAATCGTATTATGTCAATGTAAGCAACTTAAAAAATATTCTTAATCTGGTAAAAAAAGTAAACAAACAAATTTAACAAGTTATATTGATGTAGGTACTCAATCTTGCTATATGATTAACCTTGTATTGAATTGCATGTTTCTGAATTATAAATAAAATTGCAATTTAGCTAGGTTTATATAAGTAGGTAGGAAACTACTCAATGAGACACTGACTTTTTAAAACTGTGTACCTTTACTTAATGTAAGGATTTTATTGTTTTCGTTTTATCTACAGTGGAAAAAATATGTACCTATTATACGCATACTGCGCATATAGAATAATTTTGATCATGACATGAATTCCATTACAACTACTATTACTAACTTAAATTTAATCATTTGTTACTAATTAGATAGTTACTAATAACTGTTTTGATTATATTTTTTTTACAATAAATTAAACGAGGCTAATCTTGAAGTATTTATTTTTTCTTTATTTATGTACGCCTTGTAAAAAAAAAAATGTTAGATTAAAACAAATCGCCTTTACTGTCAAATATATTCTTTATTTTAGAACCGTGCATCATGCATCAATGGGAATATTTATTGTGAACTCTTCATTGTTATTGCAGTGAAACAATTAGAACAGATTTACAACGTGCGTAACAGTTTTTGTTACTTTAACAAATCTTTAAATGTCCCGCGGCGCCGTTTGTTAATGGCACAGTTTAGTCGTGCTGCTGTTTTTTTAAATAGATTTTCAGATATTTTTTTCTCACTCAGAACTAGAAATGCTTTAAGTAGGTAGTCATTTAATCCAAGATAATTGTAGGTATAAATGTTTTGTTACTCTTTGTTACATTATCCATAAGGAGTATGTATTCTGCTGCCCTACACAAAAAAAACATAACCCTACTTTTTCGATTGACAACTGGTATTATTAACGTTACTATCTTATCAAAATATTTACTCTCTTTATTTGATACCGGGCATAGAAAAGTGTTTGATATAAAGGGTTAAGTTAGACGAGCAACATAATTATGAAAGTAAATATTCTATAGTGTTTAATAATTGTAATAATGCGTCGTGTTACTAAAAAGTTACTGATCTTTTTGTTGGGTGTATTGTTTACTTTTTTTTATTGCGAGTACTTGATTTATTATGTCGTTGTGTATCAAGTAAGTACCTATAATTTATCAGTGATAGATAATGGTTTCAAGTACCAACCAAATTCAAAGTGAGGATATATACGAGTATAGAAAACGCCTAGTTAAAATACTATCGTTTCCCACTTCGGTCGAATTTGCCGCATTTGTTCCGTTCGTAAATTAATTTGAAAATAGCTTAGAGGATGTATCCTCCTCACATTTCATAACACTTTGTCTATTTCATTTATGTTTCTTGGTATCTAATGCAATACATTCAGAATTGAATGCGTTTATAATTATCGAGGCTGGGACGGACAGAGACAGGACATTGACTGAAACAAGCTTCAGTTAGTCAATATCTCGAGCACAAATAAAACAGAATTTATTCCGTAAGCTGATATTAACGCGTTTCTCCCTCTTTCATAATAGGCCAATGTGATGATAATATAGGGAAGGTCTGTTTCCCAGCCGAGAGTACCCACAAAAGCACGTATGCGAAGCTGATCAAGAGGCAAAGAGTGTATTTAAATAAAAACAACACTTCAAAGTCTTCGATACGTGAGAACAACATTTATATTATTTTATTCTAATATCGCTTCGGATTTTATCATCATTAGACGGTAGTTAAATAGCATTTATTAAGGGTCACGTTTTTATAAAGTGCGCATGGCCATTAGTGAATACAACGAATGATAATTTGAAGGCATTGATAATTGCCGACACGCATTTACTTAGCCCGAGAAAAGGACACTGGCTAGACAAATGGAGACGAGAGTTCCAGATGCAACAAGCGTTCACGGCTATCATTACGGCACATAATCCAGATGTCGTATTTGTGTTAGGTAAATATTTGTGGTATTTTATTAATAATACTAATCATGCACAGAAATTAACACATACCTACCTTATAGTATCTAAGTACCTGTCGTGGAAACGAGACCACCCACGACCACCACGACAGTGGGTACACTCGATTATCAGTCTTATAACAAAGTTATAAAGGACTTTCAAAGTCATAAAAGACCTCTATATAAGCAGTATTGAATGATCTTTTTTTTCAGGTGATCTGTTTGACGAAGGTGAATGGAGCAACGAAAGACAATTTGAGGCGTATGCCGCAAGATTTTTCAATTTGTTCTCGGTACCAAGTAATACATCCATGTATGTCGTTGCTGGTAACCATGACATAGGATTCCATAATTTGTACGTAATTTATTAAACCATACCATAAGTATATTGTTTTAAACTTTTATGGTCACTAACATTAAAGTAATTTAAGTTATTTACGGGATTGTTACCATGTACGGAAACTCGCTAAAACAAGGTACATGGTAACAATCCCGTAAATAACTTACATACCATAAGTTTCGTGAATATAATAAATAACCATACCAATAAATGAAAATGAAAGTGCGTTTGTCTGTCTGTTACCTCTTCATTTTTTAACTGCTGAACCGATTTAGATGAAATTTGGTCGGATGTAGTATGGTTTGTGTCTCTAGATAGGACATAGGATATTTTTTATCTCAATAATCATTCGTTCATGGGATGAAAACGGTAGTGGAAGTTTGTGTGGGAAATCACTTGAACCACGCAGACGAAGTCACGGGCACGCGCTTGTTAAGTTATAAATTACTTTTGAGTCAAGTTAGTTATGTAGAATTACCTTTAAGATTTGTGAACAAGGCATACAAAAAATAGCTCGGCTGCACGACATGTTTTGTGAAGGAGTAAAGCATCAGAGCTGGGGCTTGAGATATATAAAATCAGTCCTCGCTTTTTATAAATGAGTTTTATTTATTTCCTATGTTTTCACGTACACCTTATTTTCTGTAATTATAGTATAAGGCGTAATTCTGCTGAAAGGTTTGTGAAGTTATTGCACGCACCTGCCGTCCAATTTCTTACTCTGAAAGGAAATAATTTCGTACTTATAAATTCAATGGCTATGGAGGGTGATAATTGTGAACTTTGTACGGAAGCAAGAAGTTATATTGACGATATACCTAGTGAGTACTTTTTTGAAATGCTTAAATTAAACCTTATTAAAATTTGTTTTTTTGTTGCGTTCAAATTAAAAGTATTCCTGTACCAGTAATTTTGTTATGGAGATAGATCAATGAAAAAACAAGTTCGGCCTTTAGACCTTAAGAATAAAAAAAAAGACAATTATTATATCTTTCAGAGAAGCTGAATACAAGTAACGTGGAATCCAATGTTAGCCAACCAATTCTTATGCAGGTAAGGATCAACATGCACAATATTTTTACGATTCATGTCTTTACTTCTCTTACAATAAACATACTTAGGCTACAAAAAGAGCGACGGTGTATGGGTTTTAAATCAGAAATTGAAATCATTAATAGTAGGTGCAAATGCTCGTACTCATTATACAAGAATTTGGCCAGCCGGGGTTCGAGCCTAGGACCTCTGAGTAGGCGATACCTAGAAAACGGGTGTACTTACAGTCACACACCACAATGATGGACATCTAAGGAGAAAGAGAAGAGTAATTGTTGAAGAGCAGTGGTTCATAGCAAGTAACTCGGAGACAAAAATTTCATCGATGTTCTTTTTTCTCTAATTGATTTTATGTTTTTATTAACATTAATTTACACGTGTTTTACTGTTTTATCTTTCTATCTCAGCATTTTCCACTGTATCGAGTATCTGATGCTGCCTGCACGGAACCAGATGCCCCGCCACTGCCAGAAAGAAACAAACCGTTTAGGTCACGAATCGACGCGTTGTCAAAAGAATCGACGCTATATCTCGTATCCAAGATCAAACCGAGAGCAGTTTTCGGAGGGCACACTCATCACGGATGTTTAATTCATCATTCCTATGAAGACTTGAAATCAAATTTTTTTGAATATTCTGTGCCATCGTTCTCATGGAGAAATAGGTCTGACCCAAAATATATGCTGGTTTGTACCTACTTATCTACTTCAAATTTAAAGTAGATAACAGTAGTGTATTTTTTAAAATACTTATTTTAGACCTTACATATGAAATTGGCGTTTTCGTACGGGAGGAATATAAAGTCTTTTTTTTGTTAAATATATTTAATTAATCAAAGTTGTTATTTATGCACTTTTTCCACCTCATAGGTAGTTTATTGATCGCTTTACTAAACAAACCATGGGGGCGAAAATCAATAAACTCTTTGAAGGCGGTTTGGACTGCCGAATCGGAGTTGAATTTTGTCCTTGTAAATCGTGGTCCAAATTCCGGAAAAAATGGTAATCTGTTGGAGCAAGGTTCGGGGAGTACGATGGATGTCGCAGACATTCCAATTGTAGCTCATCTGACTTAGTGGTTTTGTTGTGCAGTGAGTGGTCTTGCGTTGTCGTGAAGCAGCAGTAGTCTAGAGCGATTGACCAATCTCGGTTGTTTAGCAGCTTGTTCTTCCTTCATGGTTTGCAGTTGCTGACAATAGTTATCTGCCGTGATCGTTTAGCCAGATTTTAGAAAGCTGTAGTGAACGACACCGGCGCTAGTCCACCAAACACTCACTAGTAACTTTTTCTGAGTTAATTTTCGTTTAGGGCAGTATTTGGCTGGGTCTTCAGGGTTCAGCCATTGCGACGAGCGATCCCGATTATCGTACAGTATCCACTTTTCATCACAAGTAATGATTCAATTTAAATCCCTTCATTATTGTCGGTTGAGCAAAGTAACACAGCAGTCAATCGACGCGTGTTTGCAAGCTCGATTCACTCAATTCATGAGGTACCCGTCATTCAAGTTTTTTTACTTTACCGATTTGATTCAAGTGGATTAATACAGTTTTGTCACTTACCCCGAAGCCTGCAGTTATCTTTGAAGTACTTTGTGATGGATCTGCTTCCACAATAGCATTTAATTCTTCATTTTCCACTTTGGTCTCCTGCCGTCCACGGGTAAATATACCGATATTCAAGTTTTCCATAGTGCGGTAATACGCGACGCCAAAAAAATGAGGAAAAAACAAATGAATGACTGTTTTCAAAACTCAAATGTACCAGCTAAATGAATTTATAAATTAGAATTTAAAATTCTTAACCAAAGAGGAGATATTTCAGATCAAAGTGGTCGCTAATTTCATATGTAAGGACCTAATATCTATTTGATCGATAAAGTTTGCAGCATTCGCTTTTGCAGGTTTCTTTATTTTTTATTTATGGAATAAATTACTTATATAGGTACTTTGTTTTCATAACTTAACTTTTGTGGTGTGCCTTGTGTGAATATTTTGTATTTTCTACACAAGGCACACCACAAAAGTTCATATTTTGTATTCTTTTCAGGTAACAATCGCTCCTTTCGTTTATGCTGTGAATAAATGTGGCTTGCCACAGGAGCCCACCATAATATTAACGGCTATCGTACTTATATTCATCTTGATATATTTCCTAATGAGGAGGAAATCCATAGGAAGAGGTTACTGAGACTGAATAAAACTTATTTTGTAAGTTAATCTCATGATTATATTGACAATAAATATTTTGACAAGAACGAGCACTTTGTACACTTTATACAATTTAACCTTAATTTCAAGGGCCAAACATTCTCTTTGAACAATAATAGTTCCAATTAAGATTTATCACAATAGCTATCTAAACTAAAAATACGCTATTCGTACGTCAATAAATTAATAATGAAGGTCAAATAAGAGGTAGATATTAACATAATAAGAGATTCATTCATTCACTTAAATTAATAAATACTGATACTGGTAATGCAATAGAGAACAAAATAAGTAAGATATTCGACAAATATTCAAGTTGATGTTATAATTTATTATAACATCGATTGTTAAGTACCACAAAAACAGTTATGTACAATGAAATGCATCATAACAATATTATAAACTATTGTATTCAGAACACTTAAAAGTAGATACTTACTTTTAGGTAAAATCAGTCTATAAACTCTATCGAGTTTTTAAAAGGTACGTCTACTGAGCATTCTTAACTAGCAGAAGGTACAACAAGGTTAGTAAAGAGTAAGTAATAGGGCTAACTAAACATTTCCACCCATGCGTGTTCAAAAACCTTATTAATAATTATTTAAGAATCAATATTATACGTCCATCATACGGTTATTTGAATACACGACAATAAAGAGGAGTGTCAACTTTTACTAAGAAACTTCTGGAAATTCGCATTGTCTTTAAATAAGTCATGACATCTACAACTTTCGCTTCCAGAGTATCAAAAATAAGGCACGTTCACAAAACATTTTAAGTACTTTAGTGTCACGTCTTTTGTAACAGATTACAAATCACTTTACCGCACCCATACTTGAAAATCCACTAAAATAACAATAAATGCTTTATAAGCAAATTTTCCTTTTTGTTTCTAGATATTTTAGTCTCACTTCGTATTTTGTCAAATTCGAGTTCTTACTCTCCGCATTTGCACATGCGCGTGTAAACGTTTTCAATAAATACAGAATTATCAACTAAACCCTATTATTTACAAACCCCGATTCAGCGACTCGTGACTGTGCTTCTATGGTGCATAAACAATTTAGTATAGCGTTTGGTAACTCGTTAGTAATAACATGTTAAATTGGCATTATTCTAAAATGTAAAGAAGGACAATGTCGTCCGCGTCGACGGCGACAGTGTCCTTTCGCGATTCTATAAGAATATGATTTGTAGCACTCTGGGTTGTTGCGTGGAGGAAAGTTGTGCGGGTAGGTCGTGGGATCGCGAACGGGAATGGTGAACTTGCGCTGCGCGCGGAGTCCGCGGCGTTTGAGTCTGCTTCTGATGATAGCCCGTGTGTGCGTGCCGCGCCGATGAGCATATCACCGCGTGAAGGTACCGGTCGTATCTACACAAATTGGAGTCGCCACCGCTGGCCAAGTCCAAGTACCCGTGGCCGGGGCTCTCGGTTTTGCTCTTTTGGAATGCATTCACTGGTTTTTCGCTCACGGTGAACGATCTGTTTCTTAGCTTTTGGTATTTGCTGGTGATCTCTTCTTCGTTGGCGACGTGTTCGCTGGGCTTTCTGTAAACAAACGAGAAACGTGTTGTTATAGCTTTGTTTGTGTATAGTATTTATGGTTTAAGGTGCTCCCTCATCGGGAGCATTTATCTGTAATGTAACGTTACATATTCTAGCTTTACATCGGTGAGGGAGGAGAACTAAGCATTACAGTGCGCAACCTGTAATCATACAATCACTCGCTCGCTCAAAATAGAATCGAAAATTTTACACACGAAAGCAGTCAGGGAGGCAGCATTGTAACGTAATGCTCAAAATCTAATCTAAAATGTAAAATTGCAGGCGAATGCTCCGGTAACGGATCAGTTTTAATGTGGACGCTCTTTAGTGAATTTTTTGATAAATGCTTTTGTTACTGTAATTTCTTTCTGTATTCACGGTTAGAGTTTGCCGCTCACATTATTATAATTCATGAGTCCGCTCACATTATGTATGGCAAGGTTCGAGCATTGTAAGAACATCCACCCAGTAACCAAAAACTTCGCATGATATTGTTGAATTTTAATCTCAACACTTCAATATCAGTATTATATCTATAACGGAGTCAATTCGGTTTGCTAGTTAAAATTAATGAGTGGTTTACCTTGAAGTTTGAAAGCTCAGATGGTTTTTCTCCATGTTGGCCTGAATGATCTCAAGTAGTTCGCGTCGCTGCAAGCTGCCGGATCGTTTCTTCAATTGCTTGCGTTCGCGGTGCTCCCTGCGGTGGTTTCGATGCGGTCGCGAATGGTAGTTCGCGCTAGGTCTTTGTTGTAGGACTCTGTCGCCTGAACAAGAGGACTTGGAAGAGTCTTCGTCGGGAGATAGTCTGTCGCGTTGCTCGTCATCTGACGGTTCTACAACTTCTGGCGGGGCATTGATTGTCTCTTTCCTCCGCCTGCGCCTGGCTTCCCGCCGCTCCCGATGCGTCCGTGCGTTCCCTCCTTCCGGCACGACAGTTAGCCGCACTTGTATGGTTTTGGACCCATAGTGCGGTACTGTGACCGACTTCCCTATCGATTCGTATATCGTCGACACAATGCCGGCTATATCCTGTAAACAAAATTACAATTTTATATATGACATTTAATTACAATAACGATTTTGGTTAGACTTATTAGAAAGTCATAAATGTGTCGCCATTTAGATTTGCGTTACTTTTGGAGGGGCTCGAAAGCACAGTGCTTAGCACGCTCGGTCTTCGATGGTAGTACTTGACTTTCAAGATAACAATAAATGACCAAAAATTTTTTACCTTGAGCCTCTCCTTCTTCGGAAGGCGTTCTGAATTAGTTAGCACTCATTAATTCTTACACTGCCCGCCTGGTGTGTCGTGTCCTGTACCTTAGCAGTATGGAGACATTACGAGGCTTCCGATAATATATTTTTTACTTTAACATTAATAAAGTATTAAAACTTAATTATTGATTTTTGCGTTTAAATAAACGCTAATGTTTGTTTATATTAGACAGTTCACAGCATCAGAGGAAGTAATTAAATGCCTCCATCGGCTTACTACGTAATCGTGATGTACCTATCTACATTAATTATATTATGGTATTTAAGACTTCCTTCGACTTTACGGTCATCATAAAAATCACTAACATTGTTGTGTAGGACTTACATCTTTTGTCATGCGACCGTGGCCGTCAAGGTCGTACAGAGTGAAGGAAAACTGTAATGGCTGTTGTTTAGATGGTTCTGGATGCTTTAATTCCACATCGCATGTCAGCTCCTGTAAAAAGAAACAATTTTAAATTACTCATACGGAAGTTTGTAATAAAATAAAAAACAAAGTAAAAGAGACAGTCTACGTTGGACATTTATTCATCCTACTTAATAATATAATTGTGAAAGTTTGTATGTTTTTTACTCAATCACGCAAAAACGGCTGAAACGGATTTCGATGAAATTTGGCATACACATAGTTTACAACCTGGACAGATATAGAATACTTTTATTCCAAAAATGTTAGGTTCCTGGAAAATTCTTAAAAAAAACTATAGTTAACGCAGACGAAGTCGCGGGCGGACGCTAGTAGTACAAAAGCAACAGCTTATTAAAGATGAATTATTATATAAAGTTGCAAATAAGCATATGGCTCGCAAGATTGTAAGTAGCCCAGCCACCCTAGCCATATACGCTTGCGGTACCAAAGTAAATAACTCGCACGTTATCAAAACTGACTCTATCCACTATCCCGTGGAGGTTACTTCTCCGAGAGCGGAAATATCGCTAAATTACAATATATAAGCACGTCGCATTGATTGTGGCTTAAAGTGCCAGGTAACAAGGTGCCAAAGCATTGCCAATAATTTCCGAATATAGTATGAGTTGAACTAGGCTTACTCTCTCCGTAGTAGTAAACTGGTATCGGAACCCATTGTTCTTAATATGGAAACTATCAATATACAAAAAAATCATCAACATACGGCATGTTTCTTTGAGAGTTGGAATTATAGTGTAGGGACGTAGAGGTTATGCCTATGTATGGCAGATAACCTGCGGCGCGGCGCGTCCTGCCGGCGGGCGCGCTGAGTGTCGCCGCCGGAGCCCCTGCCTGTGCAACGAGCGACAACAAGCTACGGTCTTATCTCTCGCATAAAAGGAAACTAGCCGCGCCTTTACGATCAATGAGATACGCATACGTGCACCAAACGCGCCGCCTATTCGAAGAGCACGCGGCGCGCCGGCCTTTCCGACGCGACACAAATAGATGATTCATCTCTCAATGAATTACGGATTACTACATCGATAAAATAACGCGGCGATACTAATGATTGCCAGTCCAACGGGGGCATCCTTTAAAACTGTACAGACTAACAGTATCTCTGTCAGCAATTAAAAATAATCTCATGGCATGCTTCGGCTCGAATTAACAAAGTGCCTACGAAACTACTTTATACACTAGCGTCCGTCGATAAAATCTCATATTACGGATACGACTCATGAGTTCAAGCTTATCTTTTACTTTCTATCGCTCATTCATGTTGGCGACTGCGGCGTGACTTGAAAATATCTAAGTTTGCGGAGATCGAGATGTTGATAGAGACGAGTTTTGAACATTTAGAGGATTTTTTTGTTTTTTAAGGATGCATACCTCAAATCGCAGTCTTGTATGTTTGTCGTCATGGTGATCATGTGGTGGAGCGGGCGAGGGTGGTTTGGACGGGGGCTTGCAGGTGGGTTCCTGGGGCCGCAGCGTGCGCGGCGGCGGCGGCGGCGGCGGCGTGGCGGGCGCCAGCAGGGCCCTCGCCTCACTGGGCAACAGGTCTGGTGGGGCGGAGCACTGCGATGCTGCACGACCAACGAGCTCTTCGGTGTCCGTACGCTCACTCTCCGTACCGACTGAAATAAACATAGGCAATATTCTTTTACTTGATGATGAACTATTAAGTAAGTAGGTACTTCATCTTCAGCCTATTAATGTCCCCACTGCTGGGGCACAGGCCTTCCCTATGGATGGAATATAGGTACTTAAATACAACTAACTAATTACTTGTTAAAATTTCTTTTAAAATAAATGACAGTCATGAGTATAATTATGTAATATGGGCAATTAAGCGTCCACTTTTTATATAATAAAACTGGTTTTGACACAAAATAGGCATTATGACCTTCGTTGACCAACTTTTTGTAGTATTTCTACCAGTTTGTTTAAAATATTCACTAGGTACTGCTTCAGTTTTTAGAGTATAGTATAAGTAAGTACCGAATCCTAAAACTTTTCGGAACAACTCTTCAAATACACAAATCAGTTTCCCAGAAAAAGAGGAGCCTTAAAAAAATAATTATAGGCATCCATCCACCGAGGTTATTGTGATCGCGGCAAAAGGAATACAATACAAACAAGTACAATGGGCCAAGTAAAATACGACGAAATATACTAATAAGTCGTCGGCGAAGTCAAAAAGATCGCATCGGCGCGGTGGGCCGGGGCGGCGTGTAGTCTATTTCCTGGAAGGCCCACGAGCGCCCTGCCCGAATACTCTGCCTCGGCCACGCCACATCTGCCGCTAATGTTAAAGGAACCGATCCCTTTATGTAATACCTTTAACGGCAACGTAACTTGTGGTTTGGCTTTCGCTTTGCTAACGCCAAAGCTCGTAAGATCCTTCTATGTTCATAGAGAAGACGTTATTACTGTTACAGAGTTTATTAAGATTTCCATCATTAAAATTCGTGCAAAATATCATTTGGTGTGCCACTCAGTACATTATTTAGTAGGTAAAGCTTAGTTGAGCATTGAGTGAATGATATTCGGATATTTCTATCGATACGAAGTTATTACACATTAGTATACATAAAAAAACGTGAAGAAGTAACAAATTTACACACAAACTTTCGCCTTTATAATTAGTGTGATTAGTGGTTTTATGCTTTTCCATTTAACGTTTATAAGAATTAATTAGAATGAAATAAATTAAAATTGTTTATTTCAGATACTTACCTAGTAAATGGCAATCATAGTTTTATCAAAATTACTTCATTAAATTAATTTAAGCACCTACTTCCTTTTTTAGAGCTTTCGTGCCGCGGTTTATGTTTTAGTAGATCTTAAAACTTTTCATTCTTATATGTTTTCTTATATACACTAGTGGGTACGGAAAGTCTATACACGTAATAAACATCACCGGTCCCTCTATACGGATTGTAACGTGATAGCCTTGATAAACTAAATCAAAGCGAAGGAATGCGGCTAGCGCGACGACAACGACTAGCGCTGACGGGAAATGCGCGTGGCTAGAGATCGTACGTTGAGTCCTTTCAACTAACCGATGTTACTCATTAAACTGAATGCCATTTTTTGCTTTAGGAAGAATTTCAAACTGAAGTGGAGGATGTGCAGCACATATTAATGGAAAGCGTTAAAAATTAAGCTGAAAGGAGACATGCGTTCTCCATTCCTAATATTATTAGGTTTAAGACTAGAATATTGCAAGGCATCCTAGCCAACCACATAGCGAAGGAGGCTGGTGTGCTTGGAAATAAGGTAGCAAAAATTTTGTGTAGTAAATAATTGATAATAAGAAAAAAAAAAGAATAATTTCAACTTCAAATGATATGGCCTGTCCAGAGACGTCAAATAAATTTAAGTTATTACATGTCACATGCTTCTTAACACATGCTTCTTAACGTAGAGAAAGCACTAATTTTAATCACATTTAAAACTTAACGCACGTTTCAGTGCGAGCTGCCGTTAAATTTGAAATCTTCTTCACTTGATGTAAAAGCATAACAACCCATACGGACTACGTTTATATTTTTGGCTGGCTTTAATCTCTATCAAGAAATTTTGAATTATGCTAAGCTTATAAATTTTCATTTATAAAATTATTCCTAAGATAAAATACTCCAAAAAGTACTTAATCTTTCATATTCAAACGTATAAAATTCAATATCTTCCAACTAAACTCTTTTTAAAAAAGCTGTTTGAACTTTCGTTAGTTCTATAAATTGTTTGGTTGATACAAACTCCGCCACGAGAGCTTAAAACCAGGGGCGGGAACTTCTTTGATCTCAAATAAAAGGTATCATTGTCTCCGCTTCGGCGACATGCTTTCAACTTTTCTCTTTGAAGTTAATCAAATGAGCAGTGCGACTCAGTTTACATCTAAAGCTTTATTAACAACTTTGCCTCGCAGGTTTGACGTGTTCATGTATATGGGAATATTAAAACAACGATGTTGTAAGTAGGTCTGTAGATGGGTATTGTCTTTAAAAAAGTATTCCCCTTGCGTATTTCGTAACTAAATAGAAAGAGATCAAAGCGACCTCTGTTCGCTTCTAAAGCGCACTTTGATGTCGGATTAGACTCCGAAGAGCGGAAGTTTCAAATTTTTATTTACATCTCATTTCAGTGTATACCTAAATATTTCAGTCGTTAGTTTTTTTCTTTTATAACGCGACGATGATCCATGTTATTTTTTAGTCACAAAAATATAGTAAAACTAGCAAACGGAAGATTCTTGTGTTATAGACGACCGGCTCAATGAAGTGCATTACAATTTTAATAGTTACATTGTAATTTTTATTACTTATCATAACATTAAACTTTCAATTGACATGAAACAAAATAATATAAAAAACATACGCACATCCCTTTATTTGGTGGAATGAGTGTTAGAATATAATGTGACTTTATAGAGGTTATATGTTATGGTTTGGTAAAAGCTTCTAATTTTACGATTTATGGGTAAAAGTCTCATCTAGGGGTATGGAAGTGCTGCTGCTGCCGTTAAGTAAGTACTTACCTGCTGAAGTAGATTTCCGATTGTAGGTGCACTTGCTAACTATGGAAGTAACTTACTACGTTCTACAGGTAACTCTTAAGTAATAAAAATATATTTCATTAGAGTTAGTATACGTTATAAAATTACCGTCGATAGCTTTAAGTTACTTATTTCTGAAACATATTCAAGTAGATACTTGTTTGCCAAATCTACTAAGTATACTGATTTGTGTTAGCCAAATTTCAGTTTAACGTAAGTATATAATTATTGGGTATCCCAATGCCAATACATAGTAGGTACCATATATAAACTTGTTGGTGTATGTGTGGTTGTATTTTGTATTGTGAATAATATTATTCAAATCTTCGTTAAAGCACGTTCATGCTTTAATGCAAAAAACCTACTTATCTAAATATAGTCTTAAATTCAAATGTAACCAAAGATAATCTTCCAAATCTAATTCAACATCTTACAAACACGTTGGTCGTGATAAAAGCTTTAGTTGATTCTCAAACTGTCCCGCACTACGCTGCAGATCGGGGGTGCGAGGCGACCGGAGTCACGCACGTTTGCTGAGTAGGCTTGCCAGATGACCGGGAAATCCGGGATTGTCCAGGAATTTTTCGTCTTGTCCCGTGTCCAGTAATAAGACCATCCAGACCAGATAATGTGCTTGTTTCGTAACAAAATAAACTAATAACGAACGACACCGCGGGCATGCTTGATGTTTAGTTTCTATAGAAGCTTTGACGTTGGCTATATAAATACGGAACTGTCAAAGTTCGTGATTGGGGTACTGACTCCCGTGCGTGGGTGCGTGTTTCTCTGCATTAAGGGGCGTAATCTGCATTATTGCGCGTAAATGCATTTTCGGTGTGTTGCACTACGCTTGTTTCAATACAAAGAGAGTTTCTTGCAAGCCCACCCGCGCTACGCAGCGTAGTGCGTGGCAGAGTGTAAGAATCGCTTAAATGTAATAAATCGAATCAAGTTGCTCGCAACTTCTACTTAAAACGTAACTATACACAAACTTCCTACATATATGTAAATAAATACCTACTTATATTATGTCGGCATTACTAAGAACTTCGCGAGATAATTTTTCAAGTTGTTGTCTCGGATTAACCTCCTGCTGTGATTTTTTATTATCATTTTGTTTTTCAATCATACCGCAGCGGTCTCTTGTGTCTTTGATCTTGAAGGTAGGAAGGTGTAATGTACGATTGCTATAGCAAATTGCTGAGGCAAATCTAATTAACGAACGGCAAGTACCCTATTGTGAAGTATCTACCTACCTAGTTTTTTTTTGAAATTGGAATAGGTAATTGACAATTTGATTTAAGTATCCTCAAGTTATTTTAATGAGATGGTTTTAGGGCGTGAGAATTTAAGATAGGTAGTTTCAATAATTACAAAAGAATGGTAAATTAATAAATCTATGTGATGAGTTTACCTTCCTAATTAAATTATTCAAGTTGCCGTTTAAAAAACTCAGTAGCTATGTAATTACTAATTATTTGAATGACGTTAGCATAATTACTATAATATATTTTAACTTACTTGAATTAGTCAAGTTTAAAGTTACACTGACCAATTTTATTTAATATTATCAAATTTTAATGAATAGTAGGTATTCTATTTATTACGTCCGTATTGTTCAAACGTCCTAATTTATATATTATATTAGTAATATAGGTCCTACATCAATAACTAACTGTGTTAAATGTATTATTTATATTTTCTATTGGATCTGGAGCTTGCTGTGCTAAAGTAGATATTAACCCTTTTTTTATTTGATCTAAGTATTATCCTATATTTATACTAATGAAAATGGTATATCCTGTAATGTAATAGAATTCTAATCCTACACATTTTGCTCGTCCTATTGCCATTAGGATTGGTAAAAGGACAAGCAAAATTTGTAGAATACAATTTATCAGGGACAAATAAAAATTAATTGAGACTATTATCCAAGTTACCTCCCCTTGTAAACTTTATGGGTGAGTTTTCCTACATTTCGTAGCGATTTTAACAAAATTATTTTCTTTATATATTAATTCTCCTGCGCTTATTACATTTCTGAATTTACACGATGAATTGATTGGTTTGCATACAAACAGGAGCTTAACTATTTATTATAGGTAAACCAAAATTTAAGTTTAGTAGCGAGATTCAGCATTTCGTGGTGATCATTACATTGCATTTTTCCTATTTTTAATTGCCCTGTATTTATTATATTTCTGAATTGACACGACAAATTGGTTGTTTGTATACAAAAAGGTGTCAGTAGGTTAGTAACCTAACTATAAATCTGTGAAGGTCACTGATTCATACAAATCTTGTAAAGTCAAAAGTATTCCAGCCGTTAGCTATAAGTAACGTTAAATTCAGTACGTACTGCTAAATTTCTTGTATCCATTTCTAAACTTGTTACGCCACCACTTGACAAAGTGGTGCGCCATGGGGGCGTCCGCGGCGGGTGCCGGAGCTCTCAGCGTTTCGTAGCACGTCATGCGCTGCGCTCACGCACGCATCCCGTACACTTCAAAAGGGCCGCTGTTTTGTCACAAAACCTATGTTCACTGTCACTGTTTACAACAAGACCATTCACGAAACAGCACTGCGTAAGTTTACAGTTTCGTACTATCACACACTCGTGACCCAGTTGTACGCGTAAATAACAAACGAGTAGAGGCGAGAGACTGAACGTCCGATACGCGTGTTGTCGAATGACTGACTGATGGATGAAGCGAGTGCGAGGCGCGAGGCGAGGCGAGGCAGGGAGGCAGGGACGAGGAGGGCCGTAGTAGCGCACGGTGCGTGCCCGGTGCCCGTGTGGGCGACCCTTGCAAAGTCGCCATAGACTATATACTTTTTGTGTAACTAAAAGTTCCACTCCCTAGTTTGCGCAACCCTGAATACCCCGTTATGCCCACCACCCCTCAAAACAAAACTCTTGAAAAGTTGGAAAAACAATAACATTAGAAGGATAAGTCAATTATTGCTTCACAAAGTGGTCACTATACTTTTGCTGCTATTCTTAGGCAAAATCGGAATATTTCACTCACAATTTTCTCTGAAATATTTAACGAACTCCTTTCAAGTTTCAATAATTTTCTGAATGAACTTCATTTATTTCAGCCCCTTACTAAGAAAATGAAACTGTGGGTAAGTACAGTTTAAGTATGTATAAAGAATTTTCTATCAAAACCAACAAGTCTTGAGGTCATATGAAATACAACTTAAAACACAACTAGTGACGTGAAAATTTATATAGAAGTATTTTAAGATTATAAAAAAAAATGGAAAATTAACTCGAATGACTCGAATCCCGCCAAAATATTTGTAGAAGGTAGAACAATCGGTTATTACTAAGTAAGATATTGTTTTTTTAAAGAACGGTTTATTATATCGAATTCGCGACGTGTATCTAAGCAAAATAAATATAATTAGAAAGACCCTTAAAACTTAAGAGCAGATTATTTAAAGAACCAGTATACACAATTTTAGAAAAAAAAAGTAACACACACTTCGTTTCTAGTCGTCTCACGAACTGTTTATACCTATTAACTTATTAATAATATAGTTAATCTTTCCACACGTTTTCATAAAAAATAGAACCTAGACAATTATTCGATGCTGAGAAGATCACTTTGACGTAAGTTGGCGAATATACTTGTTATATGCTTAATTAATCTGATTGTACGTAAAAACGCATTAGTAATAGGTTACTTATTAGGTAGGCCTAATACTTACAAAACCTGTCTATAACATATTTTTAATTTTACAGTTGGAGAATGACGTTGAAAATTAGATAAAGTTTAAAATGTGTGGCACAATCTTCACATTGGCAGGACTGAACGAAGCTTTGAGTTTCATTTAAAATAACTGTAACACGATAACCTTCTTTACGTAGTTTATGCTCCGGAGAACTCGACCTTTTACTGTACATAATTTTCCATCTCTTTTAATTTGGACATAGCCGATTGCATTATCGCCGTAAGATTTGTAGAAGCCGCTGAATAAAATACGAATAAACTACGATTTTTACATACCGTAGTAATATAGTCCCTTTCATTTCTACACTTAAAAACTCTGCACTTTGGACAAAAAAAGTTATAACTATGTCAACGCTAACTCTTGGTAAATTCCTGGAGTCTGCTTTGATAAACGCAACTTCCATTTTTATTAAATGTAAAAAAACGCAATAAATATTCCCATAAAATAATATTTACTTTAACAACCATAACCTCAAAGAAGTTGTCATTACAGGAGTGACGTCACTAAACGCTGATTGGTGTTTTAAAATACGTTCCGTTTCAAGTATTTTTAATTCGTAATAATTGTTAACAAACAACAAAACGTTGCAGTGGCATTTCTTTTATATTTTTTTAACATTTTAATCATAAAATTTTCATAAATATTATATATGCATCTTCCCTATTGTTAAAATATTGGCTAAATTACTTTCTGAATAAGTTCAATGTAACAAATTTCCGGTCCGTGTAAAGAAAACGATACCGTAATAAGTACCTAAACGAATGTCACATCAAACAGATCCATGTGAAAGTAGTTTGTTATAATAAAGAAATATATTTTGTTAGGAGTTCAACATATTTTACGAATCAAGAAAAAAGTTTAGTAAAGAAAATATATAATATATATAACATTTTAATACTATTCATAACTTAGTAAAAAAATTTTAATAAGCTTAAAAATTTAACTATAAACATAGGGTTGATATGATATAACGAAGTTAAACGTAAGAATTCAAAGTAATTATTTTTCAAACTGAAAATAAAGTTTAGTAAAGTAAAAGAAGGACATAATAAGTTTCCTATTTTTGCGTTAATATGGAAAAAGTATCAATAACTTAGAGAAAATTTTAATAGACAAAGTCCACCAGGTCTGGGTTGTCTCGTCTAAAACCAAGACTAAGGTAAAATTTTCTTTAGATTTAAGAATCAAACAGTTAAATGCTTAAAATAAAAATTTATTATCCATAATTTAATGAAAATATTTACTAGTAGGAGAACTCTCGTTTTTGTCGAAATTTTTTACCACGTACGACAAAATTGTGGAATATGTTGTCGCCAGCAGTGTTTTGGACCAATACGACCAAAGAACCTTCAAAAAAAGAGCGTACTCCTTCCTTAAAAGCCGGCATCGCATTTGTGATACTCCTGGTGTTGCAAGTGTTCATGGGCGACGGTGATCAGTTACCATCAGGTGAGCCGTCTGCTCGTATGCCCCCTATAATATAAAAAAAAAAAACTTAAAATTATGGTTTAACTGTCATATTAATTGGTTGAATACTTTGAATTATTTGGTCCAGACAAAAAGCATTTTCCAAATAAATATAATAAATATTCCATTCAAAGGAAAGGTCTGTGCTCCAGCAGTGGGGAAATTAATAGGCTGATGATATATATACAGGGTTACAGGGAAAGTCGTACTGAATATTGAAGAACGTTATTATTCAGGTCATTTCTGATGGATTTGGTCCTATAATATGGTGTCCGAAACTTAACCGTTATGGAGATATTGGTTATTAAAGATTTTATTATCTCCATAACGGTTAAGTTTCGGACACCATATTATAGGACCCAATCTATCAGAAATGACCTGAATAATAACGTCCTTCAATATTCAGTACGACTTTCCCTGTAACCCTGTATATATATACAGTAAAGTAGAAAAAAAGATCAAACACTTTTAATTAGTTTTGGGTAAATATTGAAAACATATCCACAGTTTGGTGCAAAAAATACATAACAAACTTAAAATTATTGGTTGTAGTATCATGTGATTTACCGAATATTGCAAAGTTTTTTTCCAAACTAAGAAAAAAGGTATAGTAAAGTGGATAAAAGCATAAACAGTCTTGCTATTTTTTGCGTAAATATTGAAATATTATCCATAATATAATGCAAGGTTTTTAAGAAACTAAACATTTTCGTTTACATATGTTTCTTAATTGGTTGAATTAAAATATCGAAATTAGGAATCAAAGTATTGCCTAAATCAAGAAAAAGTTTAGTAAATTACAACAACAGTTTCTTATTTTTAGGTAAATACTGAAAATCTACTAAAAGTTTAGTAAAAAAATATAATAAACTTAAAATTATCGGTTTATGTATTATGTGAATTTATTAAGAATTCAAATTATTTTCCTCATAAAAAAAATAAAGTTAAGTAGAGAAAAACACAAACAAAAATAGTTTTAACAGTTTTTGCGTAGATATTCAAATATCATCCATAATTTAATGAATGATTTGTAACAAACTTAACAATTTCGTTTATACTATTGTCATATTTGTTGAATTGAAATATTGAAATTAGGAATTCAAAGTATTTCCCAAATCAAGAAAAAAGTTTCGTTAAGAAGAGAAATGAATAAACACTACTACTATTATCGTAAATATTTAAATTCTATCCAAGAGTTCACGAGATATTACATAAAAGTGACATTTTTGGTTTAATTGTTAACTGCACAGAAATTGATTTATTTCTGTGGTTATCTCAATTGATTGAATATTGCAATATTATAAGTTATGATTTCTAAGTATTTAGACCGAGAAATTCATCCACATTTTATTATTTATTGCGTCAATATTGAAATATGTACATACCATGATTTATTGAAATATTTGTAATAAGTTTAAAAAATTTCGGGTTAACTATTATGTGCATTTATTGAATATTACAAAGTTACGATTTTGAAGTATTGTCCAGATCCAGTAAAAATTTAAGTACCGTAAGTGAGGGTTACTTTAGCTCGGGCGGGTAACTTTGTCCCAAATCAGAAAAAATATTGAACTTGCCGCCCCATCAGTATCTCTTGGGTGACCGTAATAGTTCCAGTTGAAAATCACAGATAGCTATATAGGCGCGCAGTGTGGTATTGTTTTACCGACATCGTTCCTGTATCAACCTGTCATTGTAACGCGGGATTTTTTGTAACTGAAATAGTTCGCAAGTTCATGCGCAAACTTTCTCAAAACTGTGGTTTTCGGTAAGTTTACAATTTTTTCTTTAACTTAATTATTTTTGGGTAAAAACATCCATTTGTGTATACAATATGCTAAAGGGTTACTTAACCCCAACATGGCTTAAAATGAGTTTTTTTCACAGAGAAAACTCAACGAGCTAAAGTAACCCTCTTTAAAGCCAACTTTGGCCCAAAATTACAAAAATATTTATGAACCCTTAAATATTATTTTTTCCTATTTTCATATGATAACTTTGTAACTTATACTTTAAAGTTCACAATGGAAAGATATAAACGTGACATATTCATCACAAAGAGAAGCTACAATTTTATTTGAAAAAAAAAGTGCACATTTTATGTCAAAGTAACCCGCAGTTACTCGGTATAGTAGAAAAAGCTTCAATTATTTACGATTTTTTGCGTAAATACATATTGAAATTCTATCCAAAAGTTAATTTATGATCATACTGATATTATAAATGCGAAAGTGTCTGTTACCTCTTCACGCTTGAACCGCTGAACCGATTTAGGTGAAATTTAGAATAGAGATAGTTTGAATCTCCGATAAGGACATATGATATTTGTCATGCTCAAATCTCTATTTAAGGGGGTGAAAGGGGGGGGGGGTAATTGTGTGGGAAACAAATTTTTCCACGCAGACGAATTTGAGGGCTCTAAAATTTTGATTGAATATTTTATTGAATAATAATATGAAAACGGTGATAAATTAATGAGGATTATTCCTCCGGCATTTATCAGAATTATTCTGTTTTGGTTTAAGCTACTTAAAGCCGTATTACTAAACGGAAACGACTATTAAAGAACGACACTGTCTATATCAGGTCTTTAGAAAATATCTTATCAGTGCAAAAATAGCAGTCCAAGCATCATTTCAGTCAATCAGAACATACGCTTTACA